AATTAAAGTGAAAATATGCGATAAGGGCAATCTCCGGGTCGACAACTTTTGCGCTTTCATTGTTGTTGCTGTTTTAAAAATAGAATTTTATATAAAAAAATATATGTTATTTATACGTCACACTTTTTTAGTTTAAGGTATTTATAAATTATTGTATTCTATTAAAAACGTTAAACCATTAATGTTTAATTTGAAAAAGGAACAAAAGTGTCTATGTCTATAATATACTTTGGTATACCGTATTATACAGGGTGTCCTAATACTCCGTCATTGTAGCACTACTGAGTATTTTTGGAATCAAAGTAAGTTCATTGCGGCTATAATTTGAAGGGCCCCGGGGAAACACATGATATGCGCCTTTTTACAAATTTTACAGGAGAGCACTGAACGGCTGGTGGTTTTCAGGTTCCTTCCCTGCATGTATATTTTTACTAGGTATACCGGGTGCGTCTCAAAAGTGGCTCACCCCTATAACTTTTTTATTTTTTCCGATAAAAAACGAGATTTGCTATGTTAGTATATGACATGAATTAGGATTGATTGAGGTATTCATTTGTTTTTGGTCACTTCCTCTTTCACCGGAAATGACTACAACTTTTCATTTTTAAATGGCACCCTTGGTATATTTTTACTTTATTCGATAGAAAATGACACACCATATATCATTTTTTGACATTTTCGCATATAGTTTATTTGAAATTGTAACAAATAAAAATGCTTTTTCCAAATATGCTAATGAGCCACCCTTGTTCCATTTGAAAAAAATGAGGTATAATTAAAAATACGATTTGGGCATCTTTTAACCGGCCAGGACAAGACACGAAAAACATTTGACGATCAAAACTATTTTCTCGGGGCTCCTTGATTAAAAATTAATATTTTTAACACAGATAATTTTTTTTTCAAAAGTTGACATAGTGTGATATGTCATTTTTTTCAGAGTGTCATTTTCTATTGAATAAAGTAAAAAAAAATACCGAAGGTGCCACTTAAAAATCAAAAGTTGTAATCATTGCCGGTGAAACAGGAAGTGGCCGAAAAGAATTGAATACGTCATTCAATCCTAATTTATGTCATATACTAACATACCAAATCTCGTTTTTTATCTGAAAAATAAAAAAGTTATAGGGGTGAGCCACTTTTGAGACGCACCCGGTATATCATAGGGCTTAATAGCTTATTGCCCTGCAGAGTTTATACATTTTGTATAGACCAGGTTAGACGTTATTGTAAAACCCTAAAATTAAGAATTGGCGCTTATCATGTTTTTTTCCATGGACCCTTCATTTACCTTTACATAAAAGTGCTTCGTTTGTCTGTTAGAGGGCATCAAACTTTAAAATAATTAACACATTTTTTCAGATACTTTAACAACCGCTAAAAAAACTTCATTATGCAATTCATAATACCTTAGAGCTAATAATTATGATTTATGTTGGTTGTGAGATTTTTAGATAATTAAAGAAATGAGATTGTCTCTATTGAAAAAAATCGTCTTCGGGTTGTTCAAAAAAAAATCTTAACAAAAACTGTGTTATCTTTAGTTTATTGTTGTTTATTTTAAAAACTGATGGCGCTGTAGTCATAAAAAGTCGTCTCCAGGTGTGCGTCGAACGTAATAAATCGTCAATTTACAGCTGGAATTTTATCCAGTCTATTCTAAAAATAAATTCACTGTTATGTCACCTGTTGCTCGCAGGATATCTTTAACCGATTAACAAATATTTTAATGTACCTGCATGCCCGAATAAAATACAATTACGTATGTAGATATATTTAAAAAATTAAAAAGAGTGACGTCGGCCAATTTAAATCTATTAGATGTTTTTATTTGATTGGCAATGTTATACAATAACACTATAATCATATCAACCATCCACAACACTTTTTCTACCCTCCCCTATTGCTGTCAGGTACGTTGTCCAATAGTCCAAACCACGTTCCTCACAAATCGACTCTTAGTGCTGATTTACACGCATCCAGTACGTGGCGCCAGCTTCACTGGCATGGTGTAGAACCGTTTAAGTACTTTTTAGTGCCAGTGATTGACAGAAAAATTTATTTACACGGTGACTCTATAATGCCAGTGCTAGCGTACCAGTGAAACTGAGGCCAGCTACTGGATACTTGTAAATCAGCATTTACTCAGACTTTTAGTAGACATTTACTACTACCTTGTAAAGCCTCTAACCGGCGCCGGCGCGGCGTCAATAAGCCGTCTCACTATATTTTTAAAGCCACTCTTGTCTCGGAACAACGATACCAGGGTACTACGGAGATTTCCATATATTTACAAAAATTGTAATTTAGATATTTTTGAAGTTATAAATGTCATACGTTTATCTACCAGGATTATACCATAGTCTGTTTTCTTTATTAATCGGATAGCGCATCACTTTAAACATACAGTTCATACCAAATAAACTTTTAAGTCACGTGGTTAAGCTTGACCGGCACAGCGTTGCCCACTTTTATATATTTTCTTTTAATCAAATTATTTTAGGAAACAAAAATAAATTAATAATAAATATATAAACAGTTATTATTTACATCAACAAAATTCACCTTCTTAACGGCACTAAGGGACATAAAGGGCCATTATAGTGTCACCAACGGATCTGTAGCTACGGGGTATCGGCAGGGGAACGCAGTTGTAAACAAAACACGCCCAATTTCATTCATAAAATAGGCATGGGCGTACGGTGTTATATGAAAATAATGTGTATCATAAATATAATACTCAGATTAATATTTTTTTTCAAAAAACTTTATGCTGTTTGAATCGTTACTGTTGAGTTAGCAGATAAACACTAAAAGCTTTTATTAAAGCTCCCTTTAAATATTTTGAATAATTTTATTATTGTGTTGTTAATATAATAGAAGAAATAATTACAGCTGGGGGTTGGAACCTTTGGTGTTACACAGCAAAATAAAACACTAAATCAGTACAATACACCAAAACACTTTTAATTTTACACTGGACGCACGTTTCGCTAACCATGTCTGCCATCAGCAGATGATCAAGACTGAGTCTTGAGGTATATTTATTTATATATCTATACTAACTATATTTTTTTCTATAATACATAATTTTAGATATAACTATTTCCAGCAAAAAAAAAATCTTGAAAATTGTTAACTTTGGAAGCGCAAACAAAACATAATTTTACTCACCAGTAGATCCAATATTGCCTATTACACCAGATATGGTATCGCTCCGCCAGCAGTTTTTAAAGCTTAGGTCATTGTCTACCCATATGTTTCATCCAAATAGATAATACTTGACTATATTTTCGAATTTCGCGTATATATTTATATCTCTCTCTGCAATATAATGGGCCGCTCCATTAATATTTATCCGTTATTTTGACATTTACGCCAAAAAAAAAAGCATTTGATTTTAATAACCCCCTAAGCGTTTCCCTGCAAAAGGAAAATTCGATTCTTCCTGCAATTTTTGCAAAAGCTTTCTAATTACGGGGACGAGTTTGAATTCGAGATAAAATCTATTTATCAAATTCCTGACCACTTCGAAAAAGTCGTCGAGCTTTTCGACAGCATTCTCACGTGGTCTTTTCTTTCCAGAGCTGGATATCATTTTATCGGGGTTAGTTTTCAGCCTTTTTTTATCTTCTGTGTGAATTTTTTTATAGCCGATACATCCGCTCAAGTTTACGTTTAAGCGGCAACTTAAGCGAACTCTCTGTAGCTTCTTCATCGCAAACCCTATTATGAACACAAGGAAATAAACCAAATGAGATTTCATCCACGTTATTATTAACTTACTTATATAAATTAGCTATTATTTCTCTTGTCTGACTATGTAGCGTCTTACCCTTAACAAATTTATTCATTTTAAAACACAAATAAACGATCAAACTTGATATTAATAATTAAAAACTATGAACGAAAAACATTATAACAAGATAACAAAACAATAAAACACAACTTAACTATCAAATATACGAAAAATATTGGAATAAAGTTTAGGATAACCGGTATAAAATAATGAAATAAAGTAATAATGATCAAAAAAATGACACCGCCACTGGATATTTCAATAGTATTCAATATTCCTACTCTTTTCAGAAGAGGCCGTGAAGTTGGGGATAAAGCAAGCGAATAGGGAAGGCGTAAAAGCCATGGCAACCGCGTGGTAACAAATCATGTGACGTACTCTCGCCAATCATGTTCGATGAATATGATGCCGGTTCGATGAAATGGGCGATGCCGGTTTGCCAATGATATCGCTGAAAAATCTTCAACTTTCATAATAAGCAGATTATACAGAATGAAAGAAATAAGTTATTAAATAAAACATATCGAACAATATGAACTACGTTAAAATTCCTTAGTAATATACGTCAGAATATATGCTAAACACATTATATATAATAAAAATATATTAAATTTATAGTTCATGTCTGGCAATTTTGCAATTTTATAGATAAACGTGGCAATATCGATTTGTTTTTCTCGCATTCCTTCCGTAGCTTCAGATCCACTGGTCAAACAGTACTATCGCTTTCACGTTCAAAATATTCTAATAAAGCTACAATGAGTTTTTTACAGTTATTAGTCTAATCTTGTACACTTCGCACTAAAAGAGGTTCTAAAAAGAACAATGTCAACTGCAAGGTCTGCTACTAAACATTTTTAAGCTTAAAGTATCACAACACTTTATTTAAACCAAAAACTTATAATAAAAAACTAAAGTGTCAAAACGAATGACAATGTCAGGAAATAAATAAATAAATGCGGCAACTTGACATTTTTTACAGCAGAGCTGCCGCCTGAATCCCCAGCGGGAAATTTAAATTCCACTTAGTCAGCACGGCGCCGAATATGTCCATGGTTGGCAACAATTAATTTTAAAATCGCACCCTCGACGACGTAACTAAAAGTTTATTGGATATGAACCGTATTATATTATTGTACAAGAACTTTAAATTTTACAAAATTAATGTAAACTTACTACTAATGAATTTATTTTGTTCCAGATGCCTTGGATATCATCAATGGATCGGCTGGCTCATATTTAATCTAGTTATTGCCTAGGTAAGTTATTCAAATTCAATTTCTTTTAATATTTTGCTCATAGTTTGTTTGCCTTTTTTCGGTTAATTCTTTTAGAAAATCCATACGGTAGGGTATTATTTTGATTTAGCTATCAGCAACATTTATATCAAATTACAGAATGTTTGTAATTACGTTAAAACAGACTCTGTCCTATATATTTTGTTTTCCCGTTTGTTTCCGTGAACTTGGCACCGTTACAGTCGCAAACAATCATTATTTCGTTTGCGCTTCAACGTTTACTTTTCAGGTAATACGTTACTAAGTTAATTTAATTGACTTGGTGTTAAATTTAGATACGGCCGTATCACCTGTTGCTTTTGGCAAGCTCCGTGTGACACTAGGTCCAAGACACTTAACAATTGAATTAAAAATATATTAAGGGATATCTAATAGAGTGAGATCTCGTCATTAAAGAGTTAGTAGTATTCATTCTTCATATTCGGATATAACGATATAACTTTAATAAATGAGATATATGTTTTAATAAATGCCAAATTTTGTATTTTATTGGATTTATTTACGGATTATTGTATTTATTTATTTTTTAATTAATACAAAATCACCTTTGACTAGGGTTCAAAACCGGGAAATCCCGGTACCGAATGTACCGGGAATTCCCGGTTCTTTTGAAATATCAAAGACCAGAACTAGAAATTATTAATTCCCGGTTCTTTCAGTACTTTCGGGACTCGGTAATAACACTTAAACATATATTTTTTGTTACGTGCGAAAGACTTTTCTTACTTTCTAGCGGTCGAAATCAAACTCTTCTAAATAAATAGTGATGCTATCTCTTACTGTTCTTACTTCTGAAGTTATTTTAAAGTTTCAAGTAAAATATTTATTAGCAATTATTGAAGTTTAAATATGTTATATTTTATTACTCAGTATAATATTGCTAAATGTATTACTTATATATTTTGTGTTATGCGTTTTTAATTGAAAATGTTACTTAAGTTTTTTTTTCAAATTTAGTTAATTTGGTTTCGAGTTTCGAGGTTGGTTTATGTTTGATGTAATTTTTAAGCTACCTATCTATAAATTTTCTTTTTTAGCCGACCATACCAATAGGTATGGTAGGCTATTAAGTTCGGCAAAAAAAAGTTTTTTTAATTTCACTCAAAATGAGTTATTTGGGTCATAAATGACCTAAATACAAAATATTTTCATGGTGTCTATCTGTCTGTCTGTCCGTCCGTCTGTAACACGATAACCCAAAAACCGCTGAACCGATTTTACCCAAATTTGGCACAAAAATACTGTGGCACCCGAGAATCTGGCCATTAGTTTTTGGTGGGGGTGGGAGGTTGGTGAGGGGGTATGGGAGGGGGTTAAAAATTTTAAATAATCGTAACTCCAAAATTACAGTAGCTAGTAAAACGCGGTTTTCTAATTAAGATTAGGAATAATATTTGCAATAACATCAAAATCAGTCAATGTCGCAGTTTTTGAGATATGTATTAACACATTTTTGTATGGGCGGCTATACGTGCCTCCCGGCGCCCGTTTTTCTTTTTTTTTTTCGCTTTGTGTTTATGTTTACTTTCTCATTACTTAATAATTTAATATTGTTTTCATTTGAAACTCAATTTTTTATGGGTTTTACTTTAAAGAACCATCTCTTGCTTGCTAATTGACGAACTCGACAATAATTGAACGAAAATATTTAATTACGGTTACGGAAACTCTTATTAATACTACCAATTAGGGTTCAGATCTTTTTGGCCATCACAGGAACCGGGCCTCGGTAACAGTAATTAAAAAAATATTTTTTTGTTACGTGCCAAAGACTTTTAATACTTTCTAGCGGTCGAAATCAAACTCTTCTAAATAAGTAATGATTATTTTATACTTATTGTTTTTCTCTTTTAAAGTTCCTATAATATTTATTATGTTAGGTTTTAATAGATATTTGCACTTTTAATTCAATATTTTAAGGCTTTTGCCTCAAATTCGGTTAAGTTGGTTTATGTTGCTTGATGTGAAATTTAAGTTACTTATACTTTTTTCATGACTCATTACTTAATAATTTGATATTATTTTCATTAATGATCTTAATTTTTTATCCATTTTACTTCGAAAAACCATCCCTTGCTTTCTGATTTATGAACTGCACCACCACTGAACAAAAATTAGTCAGTACCGAAAGTATCGAAAAAAACGGGAAATCCCGGTTCCTAAGAGGCGCGGTTCCGAAATTCCCGGTTCCGAAAAACAACTCCGGTTCCGGAAACCCTATAATAAGGACAGACATTTTACTTACACCTTCATCAGGGTGGGACGAATGATTTAATATTGAAGAAAAATGTGGGTAAATTTCGATATAATTGATGGGGACGGGCTACAGAATGACGTTTTTTACCTTTTCAATATTTCAAACTAAACTTGTCTTTCAAATCCTTCAATTTAATAGCTGTTATTAAGAAGTTTCACTTCAAATATGCGCTCATAGTGCACGCACTGTTTTTTTTTACTTGGACGTGTTTTTTTCTACGGTTGTGTACCCCGAAAATATTTAACCATGTTAACCTGTTCGCCGCTACTGGTTTCATCCCCAATTCCAAGAATTATCATAGTTAACTAAATCCTAGAATTCTAATATCAAGCCGCCGCGCCGCTGTCGCTGCATACATAATGACTCGTAAACCAAACTAAACTAAGCAAATAATATCAAAATCCACAACTATATCAGGCTGAAATGTAAATATTTAGTTGCGAGCTATCGATTGACACTTCCGGTGCCAGCTAATGACTCGAATATGTCTGTCTGTTGTTGGATCGTCAACCTCGATTTCAAAAATACTTTTGGAAATATTTTTAAGTCCATTTCCTTAGTTTAAAACTGGGTTAGTTAAAATATACCTACAGGGTAATTTAGAAAGAAAACAAATACCCTTTTATTTTTTATTAAAGAACAAATCAAAATTAACTTTTTTTAATAAAACTTAAACAATTAAAAAAGTTGTGTGTGCACTATGTGAAGCATATTTCGAGTAAAACTTCTTACTAACAGCTATTAAATTGAAGGATTTGAAGGATGTGCTTGAAAAAGTGTAGTTTGAAATGTTGAAAGAGTATTACATTAAAAATTAATAAATAATTTGATTCATTTTCACAAAATTTGTATTAAAATGACCGTCTGTCCGTCTAAGGACTCTATTCGGGTACCTCTATCCAAGTGCCGAGTTTGGTTCCAATCGACCCATAACTAAGAAAAATCCTGATGATTTCGTCCATTAGAGGCATCGCGGTTCGAAATTTTGAGGGTGTCGTTCTGTAGCCCGTCTCTAATTATGCCGAAATCGACCTACATTTTTCTTCAATACTAAATCCTTAGTCCCACCCTGGTGAAGATGTAAACGAAACGTCGTATCCAACTTTGCAGGGTGGGACTGTGTGCACCGTCGCTCACCTAGCCTACCCACCAAATTTGGTCGCGATCGGACGACATCAACTTTTGACGTTTCTTACGTCAAAACTAACTGTTACAGTGACACGTGTCGTACACGGTGAAGTTGGCCTTGTTTCGATCCTTAGTAGGCCTTGGTATCGACCCCGAGCAATATAGAGAAATTGAAGAATTCTTACAATACAATTTGTATCAAAAACTCGTCGGCGAATCTTTGAAAGTAAGGTTTCCGAAAGAGACTCTTGGAGTAGAGGTTAACGTTCAACAAACCACCCCTTCAACGTATAATTACTATTCCACTGAAAATATATATCCCCAAAATACTTTTGTACGTCCACAACAATCGAATATCTTTAACGAGAAATAATTTCTCGTTAAAGATATTCGATTGTTGTGGTATTTGTAACACAAATTATTGTGTAGAAATTAACCCAGGATTAGGAAACGACAATCAGCCTTTAGGTTACTCTTCAACTCAACTACTTTCCTTACAAGACAGATCAGTTTCAAACATTCCTTCTTTTTCATAAACATCAAATAGAGAAAGACAACCTTCTAATTCTCAACTAGCACAAGCTGAAGCTGAAACAGATCAGCTTATAAATTTTCTAAAAATCAGTCAGAATAAACAACCAGTTACACAGAGAACCAGCACCACTATAGCACAAACTCTTTACGAAAAAATTCCATACTTAGCTCCTAGTTCCCAAGATGTTTCAGCTCGAATACCTGACATAAGCTACCCAGAATATAAAAATGTAGTACAATTAGATGAAGAATTGCATGAATATATAGATACATTTATCAATAAACAAGTTCAGATTGCTAGGGATAATCGATTAACAGTTGAAGAAGCTTACCAAACAGTTCTTTTAACTTTGGGGGAAGAAATTCAAAGAAGTCTAGTAAGAGATACTTGGGTAGGAAGCAAGCCAGAGTCAACAGCTCCTAGAGTACTTGATAGTTCGCTTAAATGAATCTGTTCTCAACCCGGCTGTTTGGAAGAATGGTAACAGTTTGGTCTCGGGTGTTATTTGTCCTTGTATTCTTTAGTCATTGGGTTTTATAGTGCACGAAATGTCTTCAAAATATCATGAAAATACATTCCTACATTCCGAGTTTCAGCTCTCTAGCTCACGTAGGGCTCGAGTTACAACGCTATAAAGACCCATCTCAGCTTCTTCATTAGCTTATCACTTTTTCCATTGTTACCACTTTTTGTTCCGCGTGTCATCTCGCTAGCTCGTGTGTCACGGCCTTGAATTTTTACTCCCAGCGCGCGTAAAGATGTTTTCACTTCAAAAAAAACTGTTAAATTATTCGAAATAAATGAAATAAGTTTGATGTCGAAGTTGATCGTTGACACAACCTGTATATAGGGTGTTTCAAAAAGTGCCATCTCTTGTGGGGAGGTTCCTCGCGTACAAATAAGATTTATTTTTCATATCAACATAGGTCCAATTCTGCTGTGTTTCCTAGCTACAGGGTGTTAAAGTCTTAATGTTTTTTCTATTTATTATACTTTTCTTCCAAGTACTTTTAGCGTTTCGAATAAAATTTTGAGGATAAA